GGGCTGTCTCCGCAAACTTTTGTCTGCTATTTATGGCCGGGCTATTAATACACCGCAGGATATCCCCGGGTCCCATGACCCTTTACGTGGGTGGTAATGCACATCGCTTATGTCGTTGGTTGGGACTTAACTGTCAAAGCAAATTGCTTTCACATTAAGGTAAACGTTTTAAATACCCCAACTTGTAACATCACACCTTAGTGGTTCGTTTGTCGGCATTTGTTGGTGCTGTTGCTGGAAATTTCTTGCGTTTTAGAGTTAATGTTGCAGCATTTTGTTTTATTTAGGGGTGACAAATCACCTGCCCTGTGAAATGGCCTTTCACATTTTGCAAACTGCAAAATTTTGAATGATACAAGAAAGGTGGTAGGTGGTGGGTAAGCCATCCCCGCACGCACGGAAAGTATCGAAACAAAATCGAAGCGATACACTTTGTTGTGAGCCCCAGCATGTGGTCTTGAACCACTCCGGGGCCACGGAATTAACTCTACCCCGATTACGTTTCCCTGATACCCGCGACGAAGAAAAAGACCACAGAGGACGTGGACACAACCGTTTGCTTTGAGAGCTCAAACTCGTTGGTGTTGTGTCGAGTGTGGGGTTTGCGCGTGTGTTTTTGTACCTCGGATGTGTGAGTCATACGTGCGCTAACATCGAGACCTAGATGTGAGGATAATCCAGGGTAATCGATCATGCGAATGAGAGGGGAGTTGAGGATCCGCGTGGCTGGTGACATGCTGCGAAAAGGGGAACCCTGTGTCGGAGGTGGAGCTGTCGGATTAATGGGTTGAATAAACACGGTTCACGGCAACTTAAGTAGTGGCACAATTCAAGTTGAAAAGTTTGTATGAACACATTACAATTTGTGGACATTTGTCGTCCTAGTTACCGTGTATTTAGTCTCTTATTTGGAGGTCCTAAGTGCCACACAGTTGAAGTTGGCCGCCTAACGGCGACCCTTTAGCTGGCAGTCCCTTTGGGATGAAACGGCGTACTTAAAAATTACGTCATTAGTAAAAACTTAGCAGATGTTTCATGGGAGAGGTGGCATCGTGTCTTAACATTTAGCTGTCGAATTCACCCCGGGATATTTGTAGATTCCGAAATTAGTTAGACATATCAAATGGACACAAGTGAATATTTCCCAGACCGTCATTTCCAATACTAATACCTGGGCCACGTCACCATGGTAACGGTGTGCTTGGTAAGACAGCCTAGCAAATTTAGTTGGTGCATTTCGGAGCTGTGCCTGATTCGTTTTGGATAGGCATTTGTTGTGGGGATGCGATTTTGTCCAGAAGCCTCAATACCAATGACCTTAAGCACCGAATCGTTTTAGTAAGCCAACACCCACGTAATGTCCGCTCAGGCATCTCGGTGGTTTGGATGGCCTTTAAATATTTCAAGGTGCCAATTTATAGGCTGTTTAATGCTTGCCTCAACATCACCAGATTTTCCGATTTTACAAATTCAGATTTTGAAACAGAGATCACAAAAATGGAACCACGTCTTGAGTTAAATGATCCTTCACAGCTTTAACACTAATGATAACCTACGACAATCCGCAAATGGCAGAAATAATTGACCTGTCCATTTAGCAAATATTCGTATTTTCTCAAATTAATCCAATTTTACTAGAAAAAAACTCATTTAACGTAAGACGAAACTGCAGGAACTTCGGTCCACAAATATGGCAATTGGATATCCTCATTCGATTTCTCTAATCCACATGCAACCAAGTAAGCATTTTCCTATGCTAATTGGCAGTTGGGCGGCCTAGCGTGCAACTAACTCGGGTATTTTTGCACTGGTTTTAATTTGAACCCAATCAAATAAGACGAGGATCCAAATGGATGGCTTTAGGCAACCTTGAGGACACGTTTGCTTCGCTGTGGCAGTTCAAACACGAAGCCGATTACAGTCTGTAAGGAGGCAGCTTTCTGTAGGCTACTAAAGGCGTGTTGTAGTGGTGTTTTGGTACTATTTATATGTAAGTATTCTCAGTGCCAATTGTCGCGCCAAGCTGCAAAGCAACTTGCAAGAAAGTGATTTTTGTAGGCAAACTTTGGCTGAGTGTTCTAGCGCAGTGCAGTGAATGTTGCAGATCCATGAATGACCGAATCTAACGTGTACCCGGCCCCATGGCCTCCCAGCTGAGGCGTCTACTTTTTGAAAAACTCGAGTGCTTATCCCGGATTGCGCCTGCATGTTTAACCAAACCCCGCCAATTCTCTACGTTAACACACCAACAATGACAAGTGCGCCATGCTGTTCACGCATGCGACCTACAAATTGGCGTGAACAGCCGCCGAGTCAGCGGTCCAATTAATGATTGAGGCCCTGTCGACTACAGCCCCTTCCCGTCCACTCCGTGTGCTTGGTAAAGGGTCCCTTTCTCCAATGTGAGACGCACGTCGAGGCCTTCAAGAGCATACAGACTGGCTCATTAAAGGGAGACTACACAAAAACACTCCGCTATGGCAGAATCTTTATTTCTTAAGAGGTCTGAAATGTAACAGTTTGTACGTATCCTACACAAAAATAAGCTTCAGACAGGAGTGGTATTTCTGCAGATAATCCTGATTTATTTTGACTTTCCTGAGCAATCACAACGAAAAAAACTGACATGTATGGATTTCATTTGCCAGAAACGAAGACGGCAACTCGCAAGACATTCGTGTTGTTGATTTTTTTCAAATCACAGGGGTAGGAGCGAGTATTAGGTTCCTAAGAGGAGGAGGAAATAAATGCCAGACCTTTCATTGAAGATCACTTCGAAACCGATTATCGTGGAAAACTTAAGAGAGACTTCGTGATACCCTTAATTAGGCATGCGGATTCAACCACCAAGGTAGCATCTGTGCCATGCAGTCTGCTGTTCAATTACTTGACTGAGCTATAAAATGGAATGGGGCATTTAATTATTGTTGCTTATTTTCATCTCTTGTTGCATTAAAGTTAAACACAAGAGACTGTTGTGAATCGTGTTTATTCAACCCCTTAATCCGATCGCTCCACCTCCGACACAGGGTTCGCCTTTTCGCAGCATGTCACCAGCCGCGCGGATCCTCAACTCCCTCCTCATTCACACGGATATTTATCTTGGAGTATCCCCACACCCAGGTCTTGATGTTACCGCATGTATGACTCACACATCTGAGGTATAAATACACACGCGCAAACCCCACACTCGACACAGCAACACCAACGAGGTTGAGCTCTCAAAGCAAACGGTTGTGTCCACGTCCTCTCTGGCCTTTTTTTCTTCATTGCGGGTATCAGGGAAACGTAATCGGGGTAGAGTTAATTCCGTGGCCCCGGAGTGGTTCAAGACCACATTCTGGGGCCCACAGCGAGACCATGTCTTTTACCAAGGAGGATTACTGATATGTGTGGTTGTTCAATGTTAAACAACTGCAAGTCCGCTGTAAATTGCCATACATAGCTACGCCTGAAGTCTAGAAAAAGGACAGGCGTCGGTTTTAAAAACAAGCTAAATTAAATGTAGCGTTTTCTGACCATGCCAACTACTTTTGCTTGCTTGGAATAGGCGAAGACGTCTAACAAACAAGGCAGGTTGGACAACTCACAATCACGCGGACGCCGGTCGGTGGTGGGTTTGGCGAAGACATTTTTTGGCGAATTATTGCTCTTTTATGACTTGTGCGTTGAGCTCTTTGATTCGGCGTTGGGAATCACAATTTCATTAAAACTGTTCAAACCGAATCGCCACGAGGCTCTTGCCAACTATCTGACGTAATCACGTCGGACAAATCTGCAGTATACAACAACAGCTGTGGGATTTTGCGGGAAGAATGCCTGCACCCCCTATTTAAACATCAGTTCTTACCAAGGCAGTGAAGTTCTTTGGTGGTGTAAAATACTTACACCACAGGGGTTAAGTGCGGACTAAAACTTGCTCTCTCGTGGTGCACGTTGCGCCCCGATGTAATAAAATCACGAAATCAAAAAAATTGCATTTTCCGCCAGTGGTTTCTTTCTAAACAACAGCTTCCTAAAATGAGAGAGCGTGGACAAAACAAGAAGCCATTTTGCAGCACGTCGAAAGTTGTGCTGTTCAATTTCCATGATGCTAAGATGGTGAAAACGCCTGTAAAAGTTGGTACAGTTAGTCTTAATGGAAGTTGCAGCGGATGGAACAGTGAATGCTTACTAGGTGGGCGATAGAGGTTCATAAAAGCGCGTGATCTTTGATTCGCACCGAGAGCTGTTCTGTGGAGGGCGAAGTGCAAGTTCACGATCATGATCGGAGCTCAAACGAGTGATAAATGTGTACAAACAAGTCGTTGCATGCAAAAAAAGCTGTAGTAATGAGGCTGAATCTCATTAAAGCCAATTTCATTCACGAAAATAAACCGCTTTTTTGTTTTCATGGGTCAAACTGTCAGTTGGAGCCTAGCACATGGCAGCAAAAGGCAAGTGTTGTGGTGTTGGAGTTTTTACCAGTGCTTTATGCTTTCTAAACGCTGAAGCAGAAACATGAAGTGTCTTCGGATAACAAATTATGGAGTATAATTTGCACAGATTATTTCTTTGATAATAAACTTAAACTTCAGCTAGAAATACATTCTCGGTCTTTTGTGGCTTTGAAGGGATCACCTGCAAGGTTTCAGGACACTGAACGATTAATCTACGTGAGTTGCATAACCCTTTAGAATAACAGAGTGAGAGGGCGCAACGAACCGATGTAATAGAACTGGGAACACCGAATGAGGAAACCCATGATTCCCTAAATGCGCGAGCAGCAATTTCGGTGGCACCATCTTTAATGGGCACTGCCATAGGCCAACGAGTAAAGCGGTTGTAGCGGCCGAATTTAACACTACCAAACAACCCTATAGTTAACAGCCGGTAACAACCCGAGGAGAGAGAAGCCAAAAGAGTCGACAGAGAACAGGAGTGTTTATTCGCGTCATGACAGACAAGTCGAGTCAGATAAGTAATTTTATGTACTTGTACAAAATAATAATTGCGTTTATATGGCTTCGTCAAGTATTGATCTCCGAACGTACGTAGTTGCTTGAACAGCATTCACGAAAAATCGATTAAATCGTGTTCGTTCACGCTTGTTGACTGTGCTGGTTTGCTGCTCACCACACTGTCCGCACAAGTCGGAACATCGATAAAACCAAGAGGCGGTGAAGCGGTCAAACTAGGTCTATATTTACATGACGGAAACACGCGTCCGGAAGGGGAAAATGTCCGGGTTGTGAAATATTATGACGGTGGACCTTGCTGCGTTAATAGTGAATACAGAGCTCAGCCCACAAGCGGACATCTTTACAAATGCTAGGCCAAGGAGGTTGGTCCTTGAACGAACAGACTTACCTGAAGTCCATCCACGAAAATGGATTGAATTCTGTTTGCTCACACTTGCCAATCGTGCTCGCTTGCTGCTCGCCACACACGTTTCAATCCATTTACGATAAAAAAAACCCATCGGGGCTGAATATCCACATTGTTGCGTCTAGACTTGTTAGGAAAGGGAATGCGTTCTTCTCACATGAAGTCAGGTCCATCGAATTAGGCTTCTGTCTCTTCGAATAATAGTTATCGCATAGCGACGTCTTTCACAGTGGATTTTGGCAGTTCAACTCCTCGTCCCATCCGTGTTTTCTTACGAATCGTAAGTACACAAACCAGAAAGCCTTACCCCGTTGCCATTTATCGTGCTGAAGTAACTGAACAACACAAACTGTCAAAAAAACGATTTCCTGAGCAAGAACGGCGACAGGCACAGGAGGAGACAGAACGCCTTAAGCATTGCGAGGTGGAGCGCCAGGTGGCTCGTGAAGGCAACATCGAAGAGACGCACTTAGCAGCTGAGTCGTGTCAGGCCAAGGAACCCACAAGGCAGTAGGCGCAAGGCTCAAAGGAGGGCAGCGCGGGATCGCCAAGGGCTTGAAGGGATTCATCACGAGTGTTTGGAGAATTTGCGCCGGGCTGAGGATGAGCGTGCAATGCGCAAAAAGGCGCTTGGATAGCATCGATCCGAGGATTAGCCGCATCGATCGCTAATTCAGAGAGCCTGAACAGGCTATCCCGCATGCTGACCACCAGTGCCACCAACGCTGTCGTAACACAAGGCGAACCGAAGTAACTACCCATTCTCATTTCACTTGACCATAGTTGGGCTACCTCCGTCCCCAAGCAAAATGGGTTTTCCAATGGTCATCTGATTTTCACCTCGACTCTCCTGCAGTCCCTCCTTGGCTGCAGAAACCGATTCTCCGGTGACCCTGCAGCGTCCACTGCAACTACGTCCACCCCCGCTGGTGACTTTTCCTCGGAGACCAAGCTTCCAGGTGGTTCCCAGTAGATCTCTAAAACATCCTTAACGTAGAACCTGTATTCCAGGCTCAATTTGTATCAATAAATAGCTTTAACTGCTTGGTTGTGCGTGTAAGGCGATTGTGCTGAATTGGTCTTGTAGAGGGTTTTGGCGTCTTCGGCTCGAGTGTGGGCCACGAATCTGCCTCCGCCTTGCGCATCAGAAGGTTGCGTGTTCATCATATCGGGGTCACCAAATGTAGCGTCTGATGTTAAGTACTACGTTACAACCCCCTAGTTAACAGCCTCTAAACGGCTCGATAAGAAAAGCAAGAACGATGATGGCAAAAATGACGCTTTAATTACATTTGGCTACCCAAGTCCCTTGTAGCACATCGCGTGAGTATATCTCGAACATCAATTCTAATCGACAGTCGATGATGTTCGATCAACTCGTGAATAAGCTCCACCACGCTCGTTTGGTAACAGCTCACTACACATCGACGCCGAATAGGGACATCCACTTTAAGAAGGTTCTCCTGCGATATGAAGGATATGTTTTATTTCCAACTCCTGGAAATTGGTTAGATGGCAATTGTGGAACTGTACAGCCGATAGTTGAACAAAATGAGCAAAGAACTTGACCAGAAAAGCCCATTTACTGGAAAAGGAAGCAGGCAAATCATTCTGCTGCTGAATGACGACGTTCCACCACCTCGCGTTGCTTTCTCGACTCAGAAGACCCTCTTGAACTTGGGATGAGAATTTCTTCCACACGCGACATATTCACCAGACCTGGCCCCATCCTACTACTATTTGCAGAACGCCTTCGTCGATGACACTGTCGTTAATCCTGTTTATTCAATCCCCTAATCCGGTCTCTTCACCTCCTACACAGGGTTCCCCTTGTCGCAGCATGTCGCCAGCCGCGCGGATCCTCAACTCCCCCTTCATTAGCACGAATATTTATCTTGGAGTATCCCCACACCTAGGTCTCGATGTTAGCGAATGTATGACACACATCCGAGGTATAAATATACACGACACCAACGTGGTTGAGCTCTGAAGTAGACGGTCGTGTCCATGTCCTCTCCAGTCTTTTTCTTCATCGCGGGTTTTGGGGAAACGTAATCGGGCCAGGGTTAATTCCGTGGCCCCGGCGTGGTTCAAGACCACATGCTGGGGCCCACAACATCACTGATGCCTAGCTGTAGGCATGCTTCTTTCGCGATGGCATTGGACGTTACCACGGAAAAGGATGGAAATGATGAAAATTATTTCCAATTTTAATTTCCTTGGTATTTGCTTTTCTATGTCAAATAAATTTGCCAGACGATTTAGATGTGCTTATTGTGAGACAACTTATTGTCCTTCCGCTGATTCTAAACGATAGAAAAACTGCCACGGGAAGCCAGGAACACAGAGGTTCATTCAGTCAGTGGAATAATTTTACGTGAAGTAGGGATAAGCTAGCTATGGATGCGAGTCCTTGATAGTCTCTCCCCAAATTACACACTTATTTACGAACGCTGTGCAATTTTACGACCGTGAAGTGCAGACCACTTTGTATCGTGTCACACGTTCAGGCGTGACTTTATTTACGCCCGAAAATCCCAGCCAGCAAAGTTACCTTGTCGCCCACCGACATTAGGCCTGGAACGTCATCCTCACTGCATCGACCAGCTTGAATGGCCTCCTGTCGTACCTGCTGCCTGTTTGGTCAGTGGATTGCGCCCATGTCGTAGGTGGTATTAACTTCCGCGTGGACAGGGGTTCGTAAGTTAGTTACAGTAGTGCACTACGTGATAAGGCTTCTAATTTCGGCAAGAAATCAGACACTCAGTGCCTGCTCTGCCTCATGACATGGGCTAACTTCAAATAAATCACGTGGGCGTTCGAACTTGTAATGAGCCTACCGAGCGGGGACCTAATTAGAGAGATGACCGTTAGCCCGTCCCTCTTAGATAGCTACACCATCATGGTTAGCTACCAGGCATGCGATAGAAGAATAGCTGGAAGAACCGGATGTATTCCATACTACCGCATACAAACTCAGAAGGCAAGAGCTCAGGGAGAGTCAGAGTGGGGAAAGGGATGGCCGTGAGGAGGTTTGGTGTTGCCCTCGGACTTACGGGCGTGCCTTGAGGAAGACGAGAGTGCGGGAAGGGAGAAAGGGACAAACTCCAGGCCAGACCGGCGTGCGTGGGTCGAATGGCGCGCGTCACAAACTGAATGGTTAAATTCTCCAACATTCGTTGCGACAAACTCATTCAAATCGTTAGCATAAGTGGTATTGTGAATTAACGAGGCACAAATTTCATCCAAACATTATAAAAGAAAATGGAAGCGGTTTAAACTTGATCGTACGTGATTGAAAACACCAGAAGGTAAAATAACCAGCTTGAAGTGGAAATGCTTTTTAACCAAACAACGATCTACTTTCAGCACCGCAGAACGCGGCGTGGATGAATTCACGCTGTTTTTTAGAGAAACGAATTAAAATTTCAAAAGCGCTTTAATACGCTGCTTGGGAAATGCATTTAACATCAAGAATTTTGTTAATGTAAAGTATTTACCTTACAAGGAATGGGATCAACCGTGGCATTATTTGCAAAAATCTGACCTACCTAGTGATTACTGATATGCCTAGTGTAAATTGATGCAAAATATTTTATTATATAATCATTAAAAGAAATCATGAGCAATCAAGTTATCTTTTAAATTGCATAAAATGCATATTCACTGGTTTTTGTGGCACCGACTGACCCAAATGTGACGATAAATGTAAGTAGGTTGCCACGCAACGACTAAAAACTCAAGACAAATATGGAAAATCGAAAAAGCATTTATTTATAAATATAAGCATTGTTTTTTGTAATGATAAGTAGATGTTGTATTGTATTTCGGCCATAATATACGTTTACCATGCATCTGATTAAGTAAGACCTGCCTACAGAGCATTGTTACACCCAAGTTATTTTATTTTGAATGTCGGTTTCTGTTAGGGGTTTCGACATTCCTCAATGCAGCGAAAGTGACATTGTGGCTTGTGACGTCTTTACAGTCAAATTCTGCCCAATTGATTACAACCCTACTGTTCTATCGATCGTTCACTCTCTACAATGACTCATCGATCGATCGGTGATCTATGAGACATTTATAAGTCGGCACATCCGAGATTTGTTCCTATCTTGTGTTCTACCTTTTTGGTTTAGAAAAAAGGCCTTCAGCACAAGTACTTGTCTTCTCTTAATTTTGGATCAACTTTCCCTCGGAAAAACGTAACAATTTCACCTGATAAAATAAATCCGACATATGCACCCTTTACTTAATAACAAGTAGAAACATTGCGAAGTGCAATCACTCTGATACTATTCCAGATCTTGTAACTGCTCTGCGGGATTGATGTGATTAAATTGCACAAATTTCTGTAGTGCGAAAGGTGGGAACAAAGTTACCTTGGCAGCAGCGTTTGATGCCGCGGCATCGTCATCAATTTACTGCAATGAAAAGACTTGCCCTACGATCGGCAGACTTGAAAAGAATTTTCACGGCTAGAAACACAATAGGGGTGGCCTAAGTCTACTTCAAACTAGGAGTTACTATGAGTCTGCGGAAAATACCTGAGTGAAAATTTACCTGAGAATGCGGACAAACAATCCCAATCAGTTGGACGGATCAATCCCGCATGAATTTCACCTCCGAAATGTGGTGGGCATCCAAGTGATTATGAGGTTCTTCTTTTGCACATTTTTTGTGGATAAAGATTTCTTGAGATCAGATTCAGATAAAAATTGATGGCCTTAATAATTTTTTTTCTTATTATTGTCCCAGATGACTGTTGTGTCTTGTGTCATTGCTTTTACGTGTAGGAACTACGCCTATCCAACGTCTACCGAAGATGGTGTGGCGACCAGCTAGCCAGCACACCTAGCATTCGTGAGCGGACGCAGTTTGCAGGCGCGAGCGAACACAAATCAATCGATTTTTTCGTGAACAGACAGCCACCGCGCGTGAGTGCAGCGTGTATGCTTGCCCGACTGTTTCGATGACTCATCCTCTTTGTTATTGATTTTTTGTTAACAGTCGCCTGTGACTCATGCGTATTGACATGCCCAAAAAAGGTTACTTGATTTTGCTCGACTCGATTTGACTGGCGTGGTGCGAATAAAATGTTCGACTCTGTCTTCTCTCTTCTTGGGTTGTGACCGGCTGTTATCTATAGGGTTTTGAGGCAGTGCTAATTTAGGCCCCTCCAATGGTATGAATTTTTTGATTCGATCAGTCAGACTTATTTGAGGAAGACGATTTTAACAACAGGCCCTGGTTCTGTACAGGCCCCGTTGTCGTCCCCAAACAGTAAAATCGCGATGCTTTAGAGTGACGAGGAGTCAGTTAAATATGAATGCAGAACACTAGGAGTTTGGACAAATGTCGCTACGTATCTTGACTTCAAGATAAATAAATTCACGTTCGATAGTGGCAAGTAAGAGCGTATTTGAGCGATCTTGATTGAAACCTTGCGAGCATGTTGTGGTTACTGGCATATTTATGGCGGTGTCCTAACGAAGTAGACCGGAGGATCGCCAAGTTACGAACCTCAGTCCACAATTCTCTTGAGATGTGCTCGCTTCATGAGGGGTACTACACGCACGACCACAACTTCACTACATAAACGAAGAAAGGACAACGAACTTAACTGTGAATAACACTCCGCGCCACCACTGTTTATGATGTAGAATACTGCCAGCTCATGTTTAATTCAAATCGTGATTCCTTGCCCTTGAACGCAGGTGGAACACAACTTGACAGAGTTTGAGCATGTTGACCAAGAAATGTGGTGCGTCCCGGATGAATTTGCGTCTACACTGAATACAGTTGGGGGTTAGAATCCATGATTTTAAGCAAACCCACAACGCAATCTTCCAGTTGAATCGCAGTTTTCTGTAGCTCGTCTTTTGCTAAAACAGGGGACCAAATGACATTTGTTTTCAAATTGTGATGTTATAGGCCAGATGTTTCTGTTCAACCCCTTCCATTCCAATTCCT